CCTTCCTTCCTTCCTTCCTTCCTTCCTTCCTTCCTTCCTTCCTTCCCATTTACTTCTTCCCATGACTCTCTCCTTCCTTCTTTTTCTTTCTATTGCTCCATCTTCCTTTCTCCTTCCTTCCTTCCCTCCTCCTTCCCTCCCAGACATTCCCATCTCCTTCCTTCTTTCCTTCCTTCCTTCCTTCCTTCCTCCCTGCCCGGGTCCGCTCACCTTGGCGATGAGGTGGTTCTGCAGCATGCTTTCCCTGGCCACCCCGAGCCGCTCGTTCTCACAACCGGGGTGCAGCTCCGCCAGGGTCAGAGGGCGCCGGGGCGGTGGGCAGATCTGGCTGACGCTGCGCCGGCGAGGTAGGCCCACCTTGGCCGGGGCATTTTTGGCCACGGCAGCCATCCGCTGCTCCTCTCCAGGTGTCTCCTGTGCAAGCCAGAGAGATGCTCCTGGGTCCCAACCCGAGGGAGGTACCACTCGGGAGAGGAGGGGGCCTGCCAAGGACTGGGGGAGAGACAAGGGGGACCGGCCCCTCTTCTGAGCCTGGCAGGACCCTTTGAGGGGAGAAGCAAGATTGTCGGGCCCAGCAGAGTGAAAACTCAGCCGGTCCACGGCTCTCGTTGCATCAAGTCCCTCGGATCCAGTTGCGAGGCTCCCCCCCAGCTGGGGAATGGAGAGGCTGGTTGTTACGGCAACCAGAATGCTAACACTGTTCAGAGAGCAACTTCCATCCAACTGAATGTGCACAAAAAGCATCACGGTCACCAGCATAGCCAGCCAACCGCAGGCTTGTCAATAAAAGTCAAATCCAGACCTATCTTGGCTTGTTTGCGCTTGGTTGCTTTGGAGCAAGAAGCAAACTCTGGGCCCCCTCCCTTTTTTTGGAGGGGGGGAAAAAAAGCATGCAACGAATGCATTTAGCATGCATCTTCTTTCTTTCCTTGCACAATGAGTGTCTCTACTTTTCTTTTTTTTCTAAAGAAAAAAGTGCCAAGCCCAGGACGCCACCCATGAGCAATGGGGCGTCGCCTGATTTATTTATCCGGGACATTTTTAATTCCACGTTTTGTTGTTTTGAAATGCAAGGGGGGTGTGTGTGAACAAATCTAATGCTCCTCCCTCGTTCTCATTCTCTTTTTCCCCCCCAACTAAAAAAAAAACAACCCAACCCTGCGAGGTTGGCTAGGCGGAGAGCGAGTCAGCCAGCCAGTTTCCGTACCGAAGGGCGGGGCTAGAACTCCCCGCCTCCTGGTGATTGGCCAAAATCAACCAGTTGGCTTCAGAGATGCCCATCAAAAAAAGCGAGAAAGGATGAAAGATGAGACACTCTTTTATTTTTATTTATTTATTTTTTATTGAAAACCCCATGGTACAAATCGTTTGAAGCCACCAGAAAAAAAAACAACACACCCCTTTTGGTAAAATAAAACAAAGTCCTTTATACATTCCAAAGACACACAAAAAAAAATATAGGACCCAACCATGGAAGACCCCCACTGTCTTGTGCAATCGTATAGCATCCGTTCTCTCCTCCTTTCCCAGCATGAGCTGGACCCAAGGACGGGTCTTTGCAGCGTCTAAATTAATCTGCGCGGTGATATTAAAAACTTAGCAACCTGTTTTCTGAAGGCAGCATCAGAACGGAACAAGATCCCTCTGCTTCCAAAACTGAGGAAGGTGAAGATGAAGAGAGTTTTCACTGAGCCATTTCTGGAAGCGAGAATCGCTTATGCTTTTAAACCCACGAAATTCGGGATTGTATTCATCCACGCATGCTGCGTCGTTTGAATGCGGAGATGGGGTTTTTTTTTAAGTTCATCTCCACCTTTTTGAAACAACCTGCCTCCAGAAGCGGTGAGTGATCCAACACTGGAAGTTTTTAAGAAGAGACTGGACAGCCATTGGTCCGAAATGGTATAGGGTTTCCTGCCTGAGCGGGGGGTTGGACTAGATGACCTCCAAGGTCCCTTCCAACTTTATTATTATTATTAACTTCAGAATGAAAAATCAGCTGCTTTTTTCTTAGCAAGAGACTGCAACAGTTCTGGAAAGAAGATTTAAGTAAGGCAAGACAGGATATCCCCAATTCAGAATAACACAGTTGTTGGACCTTGGAGGTTTCTAATTCTAATCCTCAAACAGGAGATCCTATCTATCCCTTTCCAGATAAAATGGCTGTCCAATCTCTTCTGGGATGGGACATGTTGTGTTCTTTGGTCCTGAACATTTTCTCATGGTCAGTTCAAGAGGGGTGAGATCTTGGCTTGTTGTCGGCTTGGTGGGAAAAAGTCTCACCTAACTTGAAAATGTTTTTTTGGGGGGTCTGTGCCAAGGATTCCTGCCCTTGGAACCAGCCCTAAAATCCCTGGTTGGTTTGTCCAGCAAAAGTCAACGTTCCGTTCAAAAAACGTGTATTTAACGGCTCAAATCTCATAATAAAGGCAAGCTTGAAATGCCCACCAAGATTTGGCCCTGAGAAAAGAGACTTTGTGAGGAAGACGGGGACGTTTGGCACTTGGGGGGAAAAAATGGCTGATGGAGGGAAGATACTCCAATGTTCCTCTAAGAAGAGTAAGGATTCTCATTCTCTCTCTCTCTCTCTCTCTCTCTCACACACACACACACACAGCAAAAAGACAGAACTTGTGACTTCAGCACAAATGCTGTTGCTACTACAACCTGGAAGAATGGCAATTGCACCAGGTTGAGCTCCCAGAGACTTCCCTTTTCCAATGAATGAATATCTGCTTGAAGACGTCAACACCATCCTACCAGCTCTAGGGGCCTTTGGGGGGTTTCCTAATCCCCCCCCTTTTTGGGGGTGTGTGCCACGTGTAGCCCACACCTTTGCAAATCCATTTGCCAGCAATGGAGAATCTGCCACGAGCCAAAACAGGGGTTTTCCCTTCTGTGGAACCCAACATTCTCCCAAACCTCAGAAGCAGCACCCATCAAAAGTCAGATATATTTATATATTATTTTCCTCTCTTAAAATTTAAAAAAAAAAAAAAAAGGCAGGAAGCGAAGGAAAATCCCCCGTGGTCTTTCCCCATTCCACAATATCCACTTCTCTGCTCCCCCCATCAGTGGCATTTGTTAAGGAAGAGGGTCAGTGGCATCTCAGCCATCGGCCTGACTTGTTTCTCCAGTCACTTCATCGTTGTCATCCTCTGAAGTTAACTCTTCACCCTCCAGCAGATCCTGGAAAATGTCATTGAACCGGAAGGAGGTTTTACAGATCTTTTCCTCCTGCGGGTTCCTCCGTCTTCGGATCATCCTCTTCCTGTTCTTCTTCAGGTCGGGCAGCGTCTCTTCAAACAGGTAGTCAATAATTTCTAAGGGAAGAACCAGGACATTTGGGTCAAAGGCCTGGACGATCACCAAGGAGGGAGGAGGATTCTGGAAAGGGGACCACACGGGACCTGATTGTAGGAGTATGTGAGAATAAATCGTGGAAGACAGCGCGGAGAGATGCTGGCCGAGAAAAGGATCAGATAAGGGGCTGCAGGGCCCACGGCTGCATAACAGACCGAGAAAGAGGAACAGAAAATAACTTCTTTAAATTCTCAAGTCTGTAAAGACCACGGTGGGAAATCTGTACTTTCAGACTGGCAGAATTTTGCTAATATGGCTTTACAATAAAGTACAGGCAGTCCTCGGCTTACAACAATTCATTTAGCGACAGTTCGAAGTTACCCTGTGACTTATGACCGTTTTTCACACTTAACGATACTTAGCATCCCCAGGGTCACGTGAGCAAAACTTGGAAGTTGGCAACTGACTCGTACTTACGACGGTTGCAGCGTCCCAGGGGTCCCCGTTTGCGACCTTCTGATACAATTTCCTGCCTGAGCAGGGGGTTGGACTAGATGACCTCCAAGGTCCCTTTATTATTATTATTATTATTAATTCCCCCAAACTATCTGATCCCTCCCCCCTTCGTAACACCAATCATTTCTAAGCCACTTTCGTTCCAAATAACAGGAACGAAACGAGGATTTGAAACGGGACGCCTCCCACCTCTCGGCCACATTTTAGCCGTCGGGGCTTTGCACGCTCGTACCAATAGGCGTGTAAGCCATCTCTCAGCAACAGAATTTCCTTCATCTTTTTGCAAGGCCGACAGGATCCCAAAAAAAAACTCACCTGGGAAAGTCTTCTCGTACCAGAAAGGAACATGTGATGACTTGAGTAGGTTATATCTCCTTTGGACGTATTCTGGAGGAGCGTTCCTGCGAGAAACGAGAAAGGTTTTAAAAAAAAAGTCACAAAAGAGGCCAGCAGATGGACAAAAAGAAGAAAAAAAAAACTGCAGGCGACAGATAATCCACCGCCAATCGTCAAATATTATCTCGTCTTTTTTTTTTAAAAAAAATTGAACGCTTCTTTGTTGGCGACGTTGGCGCGTGGCCGCCATAAAATTAGCGCTGAGCTTATCGATTCCTCGAGACTTATTCTAGCTATTTACCCAATAGCGCCGGCGATCTCTTCCCAGTCGACTTCACTGGTGTCAGCAACGTTCAGTTCGTACAATCTGAAATTCCGCAAGACAAAACCTTCATTAACGCGTCGACGTAAAAAAAGCTACATCAAGACGGAACGGTTCTCTGTCCAAGCTCACGATGACGACTCCTGCTTTAATATTTTGTTAACGTTATCTCAAGCATGAATTGTACGTCTCCAATGGTCATCTGTCGATTGATAGGCGTTACTCCCCCTTTTAAAACCCCCCCACACACGTTTGCTTTAAATAAAAATATTGAGAAATACCCTGCAGCACAAACTCTTTTTAGCACCTTTCAATCAGATTGATCTTAAACTCCAAGTTGTTCAAGCCGCTGAACCGCGATTTCCCCGTCATTTTCTTCGTTAGGATCGACATCCTTTGAAAAGGAAGAAAACAAGAGTGGTTACAAGCAGTAGTAAGCCTGACGAATCCGGACCAGCCGTTACGTTCCAGTTAAACTGATGTATTACTCAGGGCCATACACAAGAGTCTAGCCAATTCATTGATCAATGCTCAATCAGCCCTGGATAAGAATGAACAGAATTCAAGAGCGGTTGGACTTAGACCGCTTGTGGGAACGTAATGATTCCAGGCTGATGGCTCCCTCGACTCCCACCCCGGGTTCTGCCTGCCTTTCTTCAATGGCCCATTTGCTCTATGCAAAATCCAGAGGGGGGCACTGCCCGGCCAGGATGACGGGGGTCCTGAGGGCTTATGCCAGTGATGGCAAACCAAGACCGAGTGGCCAAAAACTGCCCCTGCCCCCGCTCTGTCCCCCACCCCACTTGCCTGCAGGGCCACTCACCGCCTCCAGGGCCCACTGCAGATTGCCCAGTCAGCCCAGCAGCGCCATGGCGGCCACGTCCTCTGCCTGCGCCCTGCAGCATCAATTGTGCACAATGGGGTGTGAGGGCAGAGTCTTGTCTACGCTGCCTGGCTGCCATGTCCTTGGCTGCGCTGCTCCGTGTGGGCCACGCTCAGGGGCGACTCCCCTCCCGAGGGGCTGCTGGTGAGGAGGGGGTCACGGGGGTAGGCGAGGCTGGGGCAACGGCACGTGTGCCCACAGAGAGGGCTCCGAGTACCGCCTCTGGCACGCGTGCCATAGGTTCTCCACCACTGGCTTATGCCCTTTGATAACATTTGCTATCAAGGTGCTAGCAGACCCCCCCTCCTGATTTTGGGTTACTGTGGACTGACAGGGCTGTCCATCGTGACGAAAGTTGATCTCTGGTTACACTCAACACACATTAAAAAGGGGGAAAAGGGGGACATCGTTCCTTGGGTGATCCCTGTTCGAGGCCTGGATCCCACATCCCGCGAAAGCTCACCATTTCTTTTTACACTGATTCCGGTTGCGGGTCTCCACCTTGGCTGCCACTTTCACCCAGCCGATGTTCTTGTAGAGATTTTCGCGTAGAAGGGTGAGCGCCCCCTCGTCGTCCCTGCTCTCCAAGGCCGAATCCAGCCCGCTCACTTTCGTTCTCAGGATATCTCTGAGCGCTTCAAGCAGTCTCCCAGTCTCTTCTTGAGTCCAAGGGCCGGAGTTGAAGACTGCGCACGTTATTTGGACACACACACACACACAAACACACAAAGCCAGACTGAGACGACAGAAAACGACGATCAGGATGCATCAGATCCCGACTGGTGTGAAGGACAAGGACAGGCAGTCCTGACGTCCAAAAGTGGACGTTGCTAAGCGAGACCTTTGCCCCATTTTACGGACTGTCTTGTCACGGTTGTGAAGAGAATTGCCGCAATTATTAAGCTAGTCACACTTTTGTCCAATGAATCCGGCTTCCCTATTGACTTTGCTTTGTCAGAAGGCCGCAAAAGGGGGTCACGTGACCCCGGGACGCTGCGACCGTCATAAATACGAGGGTCCGAATTTTGATCACGTGACCCTGGGGTCGTAAGTGTGAAAAATGGTCCTAAGTCCTATTTTCAGTGCCGTTGTAAGTTTGAACGGTCACTAAACGAATGGCTGTAAGTCAAGGACTTCCTGTGCGGAGAATCTGGAATTTAGAAGAGGGGGTTGGAGGGAATGGAGGGGGGGGGAAAGGACAGATATCAACCTACCCTCTACCATCGCGTTATATTTCAAGGCGATCGAGTGACTGCTTCGGTTCATGAGCCCCGAGATTTTTTTCCATCTGTTTCCATACATGGCGTGATACTTAAAAAGCTGCTTCTTCTCTTCCTTTGTGTACCTGAAAAAGACGTCAGGAGAGTTAAAGCAGTTGCTACGCCGCGAGAGGAGCTTGAATTGAAAAAGGGAAAATCTTATTAATAAAGGAGAATCTTTGTGGCTTCAGGGTTGAACTGTGGGGGTCCTTGGTGCTCTCTGAGCTGGCTGGTTTTCTTGCAGACGTTTCATGGCCCAACTAGGTAACATCATCAGTGGTAGAAGGGAGAGGGGTTTGTGAGAAGAGGAGGAGGACTGTGGGATCCTTGGTGCTCTCTGAGTTTGGTTATTTTCTTGTAGACGTTTCATTACCCAACTAGGTAACATCATCAGTGCTAGAAGGGAGTGGGGTTTGTGAGAGGAGGAGGAGGAGGAGGAGAGGACTGTGGGGTCCTTGGTGCTCTCTGAGTTTGGTTATTTTCTTGTAGATGTTTCATTACCCAACTAGGTAACATCATCAGTGCTAGAAAGGAATGGGGTTTGTGAGAGGAGGAGGAGGAGGAGGAGGAGGAGGAGGAGGAGGAGGACAACGACTGTGGGGTCCTTGGTACTCTCTGAACTTGCTTGTTTTCTTGCGGACATTTCATGACCCAACTAGGTAACATCATCAGTGCTAGAAGGGAGTGGGGTTTGTAAGGAGGAGGAAGAGGAGGATGAGAACTGTGGGGTTCTTGGTACTCTCTGAGTTTGGTTATTTTCTTGTAGACGTTTCATGACCCAACTAGGGGACATCATCAGTGCTAGAAGGGATGGGGGGTTTTTTAGGAAGGTGGTGGAGGAGGAGAAATGAGGGGTCCTTGTTGCTCTCTGAGCTTGCTTGTTTTTTTGCGGACGTTTCATGACCCAACTAGGTAACATCATCTCCCTCCTACGGAAAATTTCCACGGTGACTTCTACTAAAGAATAAGATATATATATATGTGTGTGTGTGTATTTCTTTTCTTACCATCCATTATAATTCTGAGGATCAAATATTTTCCTGGCCCGGTAATACACCAGTCTCCAGGGCCGAGCGATACCCTGAGCTGTGGGCAAAACGACGGAAGGATTAGAACCACGTTTAGGACTCGCACAAACGACCTGAACCAACCAGGAAAACAAGAACGACATCTAAAAAAACAAGCAGACTTTTAAGCCAGAATTAATTTTGTTAGGAATAACGATTTGACTAGCTTAATGATACCTGGCTGGGCACCTCTTCGGGGAGAGCTCCTTCTGTTTCTGGAGGGAAGGAAATTGGCCCAAACTCACCGATTCTCTCGCAAAACGAATACTTCCACTTCAGCCTCTTGATTTCTGCTTCCTCCTGTGGGAACCGGTGCGAGAACAGGAGCTTTTCCGCCGTCTCGACCCCGCTTACTTCCAAAAAGGCCGCCATGTTGTCTACCAATAAGTCGTTTTCCGCTTGGGAGAAGACGCCAAATTTCACCGTCAGCCCTGTGAGACGGAAACCGGAGAATCAAATAACGTTCCCCAAGAAAATTTCAGACTAGCTTCGCAATCGGCTAGCCCTCTTTTCTTAAAAAAATAAAATAAAATAAAAGTTTTATTATACAGGCAGCCCTCAAGTCACAGCAGTTCAGTTAGCGACTGTTCAAAGTTACGACGGCACTGTCCAAAAGGGACTTGCGACTGTTTTTCACACTTGAAGGCCGTTGCAGCATCTCCGCGGTCAAAATTCAGACGCTTGGCAACCGACTCAGAGTTACGACGGTCACAGTGTCCCTGGGGTCACGTGATCCCCTTCGGCGAGCTTCTCAACGGGGAAGGCCGATTCACTGAACTTAACAACTTAACAACTGCAGCGATTCGCTTACCCACCGTGTCAAGAAAGGTCTTAAAACGGGGCGACGCCCACTTAACAAAGGTCTCTCTTAGCAACATAAAATTTAGGTTCAACTGTGGCCGTAAATTGAGGACTACCTGTATTATAACAAGACACAAGTAATACCATTCTATGATTTTAATACGCAACAAGGTATTATCTTGCCTAGAGATTGTTTACACTCCAGTGTTTAAACTGGTTGCTTTCAGACATGCAACGGGCACCTTTTTTCTTAAATTCCCGAAACCTGGGTAGATCCCGTATAGCCAGTTTCCTGATCGCCTCATCCGACAAAGTCTTCGCACGAGGGAGGAATTCCTCTAGTTCTTTTCGGGCATCCTCCAGTTGTTCCTTATTCAGAACACTGAGGTCCCTCGCTTCATCTATGGAACTTGTTTCGGAAGGGGGCCGTTTGCGTGACGATCGCAGTTTCCTACCCGTTTGGGATCGACCCAACCTGTTGGGAGATCAAAATCGGGCATTAATAGTTATTTAAATGTAGCACAGCTGCCCCCTTCCAGGACATATCCACCTTGTGAACGGTAAAGCTTCCTCCTTCCGTTATGTATTCAAGATGGACAGTGATTAATATTTATATGTTGCTTATGTGTAAGGGTGTAGGTCTATACATATGTTGTAGATAGTATGTTTAAATGTGTGTTACACTTTGAAGCAACTAAATTTAATTTTTAATGTGTGCCATTGTGCCCAAAAATGACAATAAAGGTTATCTATGTATCTATGTACGTATCTATGTATGTATGTATCTATCTATCTCTTTCTGTCATCTCATCTATCTATCTGAAGATTATCTCTCTAGCTATCCATCCATCCACTTTTTTCTGTCATCCCATCCATCCATCCATCCATCATCTTTCTCTTTCTGTCATCCCATCCATCCATCTTTTTCTGTCATCCCATCCATCCATCATCTTTCTCTTTCTGTCATCCCATCCCATCATCCATCCATCATTTTTCTGTCTGTCATCCCATCCGTCCATCCATCATCTTTCTCTTTCTGTCATCCCATCCCATCCCATCATCCATCCATCTATCCATCATCTTTCTCTGTCATCCCATCCATCCATCCATCCATCCATCTCTATCTATCTATCTATCTATCTATCTATCTATCTATCTATCTATCTATCTATCTATCTATCTATCTATCTATCTATCTATCTATCCATCCATCCATCCATCCATCCATCCATCCATCCATCTATCTGTCAACAGCATGGCTGAATGCTCCCTGGGCTTGGCCTCTAAACTTGATACCAATAGCACTTAGATTTATATACCGTTTCATGGTGCTTTACAACCCCCTATAAGCAGTTTTACAATGTCACCATCTTGCCCCCCAAAACCTGGCTGAGGAATTCTGGGAGTTGAAGTCCACAAGTCATAAAAGGGCCAAGTTTGAAGACCCCTGGACTAGAGGTTAGTGAAAGAGTGAAACCTCCACACCACTGTCTTGAACATGCCCGGGGCAGATGATGTTTAGGTCCACCACCGTTTTTGTTGCACCAGAAACTCCCAAAAGACACCTTCCAAACCCCAAAGTTCTACCACCTCTTCTAATCTAGACAAGGACAACCAAGAGGTACCAGGAGAACTTACTTGGTGTTAACTTCTGAGGTGGACAATTTTGACGGTGACTGAGGTTGCTTCTGTTCCATCTCCAGGTCCATCTGAGTAGCATCGGAATCCTCAGCAGTGGGAGAATGGCTTCCCTCTTGGCCATTCCCCTGGAGAAGGTCCAGTTGTGCTCTCCCTGAGAAGGATAAAGGCGAGGAGGCAAAGAGGTCCATCTGCGTGTCTATCGTTTCGTTGAGGTCCACCTGATCTTCTCGTTGGGAACTTGTGGCCTCAGCCTTCTGTTTCGCAGATCCATCAGCGACATCAACATCCTCCCTTCGTTTCCTCTTCTTCTTCTTCTTCTTAAGAGATGACATATTCCCATCAACAACACCCCCATTTTCCAAGTCCTCATTCTGGGACAGTTTTCTGGATTTTTTTCGAGTCGGTGGGCTCCAAAACTCATCGTCCTTCACACCACCCCCATTTCCCAAGTCCTCTTTTCGCGATGGTTTTCTGGATTTTTTTCGAGTCAGTGGACTCCAAAACTCATCATCACCACCCTGTTTAAGTATGTGTTTCATCTTCTTCTTCTTCTTCTTGGGCACAAAATGGTTTATTTCAGGCTCATCGCTCAGCTGAGTCTCGGAGATGACCCAGGAAGTATCTGCCTGGGAGTCAGAGGCTTCCATACTGGATTTTTTCTTCTTATGCTTTTTTCTGCTGGGCTGAGAGTCTTCTGTATCCTGGGAAGAATGGGACAACGGATCAGAAGACACAATTGGCTGTCTGAGCTCTTCTCGATGGCGCTTCCGTAACTTCTTTGTCTTCTTTTCGTAACTGGACTCTTGCGTGTTCTCTACCAGCACCATATCCAGCTCGTTCATCATTCTGCTTAAAAAGCAAGGAGAGAGAGAAGTGAAAACTCACCCAGAGGGAGCCTAAAAAATAAATAAATAAATTACAAGTAGCCCTCGGCTTATGACAACATGCCAGCCCCAAATTTCTGCTCCTAAGGGAGAACATTCGTTAAGTGAATTTTGCCCCATTTTACGACCATCCTTGCCACCGTTCTTAAGTGAATCACTGCAGTCGTTAAGCGAGTGACGCGGCTTCCCGGGTTGATTTTGCTGGTCAGACGGTCGCCAAAGGGGATCACGTGACACCCTTCCCCGGGACGCTGCGACCGTCGTAAATACGAGTCAGTTGCCAAGCGTCCGAATGTAAATCACCTGACCCTGGGGATGTGGCAGCGGTCATAAGTGTGAAAAATGGTCGTAAGTCACTTTTTTTCCAGTGCTGTTGCAAATCTGAAGGAATTGCATTAAGTCATCTCATCCATTGGAGTGCCTGACTTGGAATTTGGGACAGACAGCTTTGAATCTTTGTTTAAAAAATGGTCCTAAGATCTACCTGTCCTTCTATAATATCCATAAAGCCAGAAAGGAAGAGCTTTGGAGATTTTAAGCATGGCGGCTGGGGAATTCTGGGAGTTGGAGTCCACCCCTCCTAGAGTTATCAAGGTTGGTAAACAGAAGGTTAAGGAAACCCTCCTAGTCTGAAGGCAGTTGGAAGCTCTGAAAGCTTACACGCCTGCAGGGGCAGAAGAAGGGTTTCTACTATAAACTGCTCGGGAGAGGCCACTCCACCTAAACATAAACAGACAAAAGAGTTTAAATGTTGCCAGCATTATCAGACCACTTTTGAATTGCTATGCAAGGATAAGCAAACAATAAAACACATTAAGGACTCCAAACATCAATCGCTATGCTTGAAACACAGTAACAAAACCCCCAGAATTTAAAGGAATACAAAGAAAAACCAGATTACAGTCACACAGGGAATAATATCCCAAGCTATCCTATAAAGCCACCAGACGCTCTCAGGGTGTCTCCGGACTACAACTCCCATCAGCGCTACAAGCAGAAGGGTATGCACCCCCCCCAAATATTTCAACCCCAAAGCGGCTTTCTCTTTGCTTTCCAAATCTGAACACCCGGCACCATCCTGAATTATTTCTAAATGTTTATGACCTGTAAATGCAGCCCTTGATTTAAAACAGTTCACTTAGCGACTGTTTGAAGTTACAAGAAATCTGATCCTAAATTCTAAAAAAAAGAAAAGGAAGGAAGGAAGGAAGGAAAGAAGGAAGGAAAGAAAGGAAGGAAGAAAGAAAGGAGATGGAGGGAGGGAGGAAGGAAGGAAGAAAGAGGAAGGAAGGAAGGAAGGAAGGAAGGAAAGAGAAAGGGAGGGAGGGAGGGAGAAAGGAAGGAAGAAAGAAGAGATGGCGAGAGGGAGGAATAAAGAGGAAGGAAGGAAGGAAGGAAGGAAGGAAGGAAGGAAGGAAGGAAGGAAAAAAAGAAAGGAAGAAAGAAAGAAAGGAGATGGAGGGAGGCAGGAAGGAAGAAAGAGGAAGGAAGGAAGGAAGGAAAGAGAAAGGGAGGGAGGAAGGGAGAAAGGAAGGAAGAAAGAAGAGATGGAGAGAGGGAGGAAGAAAGAGGAAGGAAGGAAGGAAGGAAGGAAGGAAGGAAGGAAGGAAAAAAGAAAGAAAGAAAGGAGATGGAGGGAGGGAGGGAGGAAGGAAGGAAGGAAGGAAAGAAAAAGGGAGGGAGGGTGGGAGAAAGGAAGGAAGGAAGGAAGAAAGAAGAGATGGAGAGATGGAGGAAGAAAGAGGAAGGAAGGAAAGAAAGAAAGAAAGAAAGAAAGAAAGAAAGAAAGAAAGAAAGAAAGAAAGAAAGAAAGAAAGAAAGAAAAATTGCTCGTGGCAGTTTCTCCTTTAGACAAAACCCTAAGCTGCAAAACTCCACTTGCAAACCTGAAATGGCAACTGCTGGCTTTGCCACCCTGAATTGCAAGCGCTCAACTTGCAATTTGCAAATTGCAAGCGCTCAACTTGCAATCCTGGGATTTCCAGGCTGGATCTGCAAAGACAAATTGCAAGCATTCATTGCAAACATCCAAAAAAAAATAATTGCAACCAGTGAGACTTACACGCCGCCGGTCCTTAGGCTCGCCCCCCACTCGAGATCCTCCCCAGCACGCGAAGACCCCCCGCCGGCTTTCTCCTAAGCAGGCAAACACGCCGCTTGCCCGAACTTCCGGCTCTTTTTATACCACTTCCGCCTCTCTGCTGGAGGAAGCATAGAGGAGGACGGCAAGAGCGCCCACCCATGTTTTCTCCCTTACTGGACATCAACACTTTCTAGACACGCGAACCGGCTCTTTCATTCTCCCCCTGCGGGGGGCGCGATGACCGTCCACACGAAGCCCGGCCTCAAAAGAGCGGCCATGGGAGGCCTTTTGGACTCCGGGCCTCGACTTCGAGAAAAAAGGCTACTCTAGACTTTTTATGCATCTAGGAACGTTTAGGCGTTCGACAATCCCGGAAGCAAGCGATTGGCTTCCCCCCTCTTCCTGTTTCTAGCTCTAGGCCCTTCCCGGCTCTAACCAAGCCGATAAAAAGGATCCAGGGCGGAGGCGGGGTGGGGACGCTCCTTGGCATCCCCTGTCGTCTCTATGGTGCCGGCAAGGGCGTGGCGAGCGCGGCGGCGGCGGCGGCCAATCCCGCGCCGGGGCGGGGCTTGCCGCACCGGAAGCCAGGCCTGCCGCACCGGAAGGCGTGCTGAAGAAGGCGCCGGGTCTTGGCGCCGGCGGGCGAGGAGCTGTGGCGGTGGCGGCGGGGGGCCCATGGCAGCGGTGTGGGGCCGGCGGCTGCCCACCCGAGGACCCGGAGGGCGAGGTCAGGGGCCGCCGAAGGGGCGGGGGGAGCTGGGGAGGGGCGGCTGAGGGAGGGGCTTCCTCTCTCAACCCCCCCATAGCCTAGGAAATGGCGCGCTGCCCCCCCTCTTTACCTCAGAGGCCGAGAAGAGCCCCCCCGAACCGGTGTAACCCATTCCCACGAGGCCGCATTCACGTGTCTTCGCGGAGAATTGGCTCTGTGGGGAGCTGCGGGCCGCCCCATTTCATGGGAACGGGCCCCACTTAGCGAACGTTTAAAGGGACGGCAAAGCGAGTCTCTGTCTCCAGCCAAGAGGTGGAGGGGGGGCAAGTCGCCTCCCCTCCCTCCCAGTTCAATTTGCCCCTTCTCCAGGGGCGCCAGCATATTGGGGGAGGGGAGCCCCCCACCCACCCCATAGAGTTCATCCCCTGTTCAGGGTTTCCTTTGCACCCCCTCCCCATATAGAGGCCAAGCTGACCCCCTCCTCACCCCTTGCAGGAAAGGGAGGCTGGAGGGGGGGGGCGGCCCAATGCAGGGAAAGCAGCACCTCAAATGCAAGGTGGACCCCACAGAATTGGGGTTTTCCCCTTTGCAGCAAAGTGTGTGTGTGTGGGTGCAAGGGGGGGGGGAGAATGAGGAAGAAGCGTTCAAAGGCATGCAAATTCGCCCCTAAAGTAGACTTCACACACACACACACACACACCCCTCAATAGAGGCGAATCTGTTTTTTTCCCCCTTTGCAGGAAAGAAAAGAGGAGGAGTTCAAAAGCATGCAAATTAACACACACACACATCCTTAAAGGCCACTTCACCCCCATAGAGATGAATCTTGTTTTTCCCCTTGGCAGGAAAGGAAAGGAGAGAATTGAATGCATGGCAACGTGGATCCCATGGAAGTCAATGTGTGTTTTTCCCCTTGGCAAGAAAAGGGGAGAGGAGAGGAAGGGGCTCCAAGGCATGGAAATTGGCCCCCAGTCTGCAAGGGAGGCTCACTAACTTCTCTCTCTCTCTTTCTCTCTCCCCTCTCTCTCTTTCCCTCTCTTTCTCTCTCCTCTTCTCTCTCTCCCTCCCCCCAATTAATCAAAGCCAGCTGTGTCTAGTCTGGGAAAACATTTTGTATATAATACACTATCTCATTACTCTGCTATCTCATTACTTTGACCTCGTAGGATTGAAAATTCCCAGAGGCAATGCAATGGTCCCCTTAGAGCTGAATTTTTTTCCTAACAAAGTGCTGGAACGGTAGAGATAAGACCAAAAAAAATATTTACTGTTTGGTATTAAGTTGTATTCATAAACTTAAATGCACTCCTATCTATATATCTATCCAATCTCTTTTATGGGAAAAAAAACACAATCTCTTTCTCATACATACATACCTATATATATGCACACACTGCCCCCTCTGTCATAAAGGGTAAAGAAAACAAATTTAGCAATAATATGAATTTATATCTACAAGGAATGAAACGTGAAGGATTCCTAAGAGAAAAACATAAGTTTCAATTTGGGAGAGTCATTTTTGCTATGGGTTTTATTTTGTTTTTGGGACCCAAAAGCCACATCATACCCCAAAAATGACCAGGAGCTGCTTAGTAACAGATGTCAGGACAAGAAACAACCAAGCTCTGAGAACACCAAGGATCCCACAGTCATCCTCCACTCTACAAACACCACTCCCATCCAGCACTGATGATGTTCCCTAGTTGGGTAATGAAACGTCTGCAAGAAAACCATCAAAGTCAGAGAGCACCAAGGACCTCACAGTCCTCCTCTTCCTCCCCCTCCTCCTCCTCCTCCTCCTCCTCTCCACAGACCCCACACCCTTCTAGCACTGATGATGTTCCCTAGTTGGGTAATGAAACGTCTGCAAGAAAACCACCAAGCTCAGAGACCACCAAGGATCCTGCAGTTTGAACCCTGAGCTACAAATATTCTCTTCTATCGGGGCCATCTTCTCCTTTTTTTTTCTCCCTGTAGAATGAGTACATGTTGCTGGTGTACACCAGGTGGTCCCACCACCATCAAGCTACTAGCAAGTTACGCCTCGTCTGCCCTGTCTCCGAAGGATATTGCTGCAGCCAACGAGGACCTCTGTTACTGTCTGGAATGCGTGGAGGAGTACCACAAGGCGAGAGATGAAGTCCCGTCTTTACACCAGGTACCCCGATT